CATGTTGAGCCATCATTGCATTCAGTAACAAATCCCAAATGATCATGGTGTATGATCCTCTTTTTTTTAAATGTCTTTATTTATTTTTATATGATGCTGAGGATCAAACCCAGGGCCTCAGATGTACTAGGCAAGCACTCAACCACTGAACTACAGCCCCAGCTCAATGTATAATCCTTTTAATATACTGGTGTATTTGGTTAGCCATTAGTTTATAGAAGATTTTTGCATTCATATTCATCAGGGATATTGGCATGTAGTATTCGTATAGAGTCTTTGGTTTCAGGGTAATGTTAGCCTTATAAAATGACCTTGAAAACATCTTCTTTTCAATGATTATCTGTACTACTGTGGTATAAATTATAATGTCTCTTCTTTCATTTTTCCTTTTGAATCTTCTTTCTTCATAGTTAGGCTAGTAAAGATTTGTTTATTTTATGTTTTAAAAAAACAACTCTTCGTTTCATTGATCATTCTATTATTATTGTCTTTGTTTTATATATCTTACTGTTTTTTTTCCCCTTTCCTCTGCTAACTTTGGGCTTAGTTTGTTCTTTTTTTCATCCTTGGAGTAAAATGTCAGCCTGTTTGAGATCTAATTTTTTCTTCACATAAGTTGTTTATTTCTATAAGATTCTCTCTTGAATTCTTTCACTAAATATCACAAAATTTAACATGCTATGTTTATATTTTTATTTATTTCCCTTTGATTTCTTCTTTAATCTTCTTGCTTGTGTGCTAATTTCCATATACTTGTAAATTTTCTAATTTGTGTCTTGATAATTTCTAGTTTCACATCACTAGTCAGAAAACATACTTGAGTTTATTTCAATCTTATTAAATTTGTTAATACTTGTTTTATTTCCCAACATATAATCTATCCTAAAGAATGTATCATGTGTACTTGAGAAGAATGTGTATTGTGTTGCTGTTGCAATGGAATTTCTGTGTATTCTTGTTAGTTTTATTTGGTGTAAGGTGCTGCTCAAGTCATCTGTGTCCTCATTGGTTTACTGGATGATTTATTCACTGGGGATGGGGATATAGCTTAGTTGGTAGAGGGCTGCCTCTCATGCACAAGGTCCTGGGTTCAATCCCCAGTACCAAAAAAATAATAATAATAATGAGGCACTGAAGTTCCCTATGTATTTCTGTCGATTTTTCCTTTTGACTCTATTAATATTTGCTTTATATATAAAATGCATTCCAATGTTGTGAGTGCATATATTTATGCTATTATTAAACACATCTGATAAACTGACTCTTCCGTTATTATACAATAATTTTCTTTGTCTTGTTTTTGACTTAAAGTCTATTTTGTCTAAAGTAAATGCTGCCACCCCTGCTGTCATTCTGTTGGCAATTTACATAGGATATCTTTTCTTTCAGGTTATGTTTATGTCCTTAAAGCCAAAATGGCAGACTCTAAATCCTTACATTGTAACTATTTATATGTTTGAAATCCTATTTGCCTTATGGCCACCTTAACTTTCTCTTGGTTAAAATGTGATGAGTCTACATACAAGACACAAGCGTTAAGTGTTCATCTTTCAAGTGTTGTAATAGGCAACCAAAAGGCCTCATGATGGTTGAGCAGAGAAGGCTGCCCTTTTCATACCAGACTTGGTGCCTAGCCAGTATATTCATTTTCTGATTGTAGTCAGATACTCATGCTCCCCTTCATAGGAGCCTTAGGTGAGACACTGACACATTTTTGGGAACCCTGTTGACTCAGAATTCCTTTACCCCATCAGGTCTAATAAAGGCAGATACCTTTAGCAGACTCCTTCATAGTAAGATGATTTCCCTGTCTGCAATGAGTATCATTTGATACTTGCCCAGTACTATTCCGGGGGGAAAAATGAATCAGTTCTTCTTGATGTCTTGCTTATAAACTGACCTAGTAAGTAAATAAATATTGATTGTTACTTTCATTTCTGCTACTTGTTTTAAATTACCGCCTTGACATCTGAAAGCTCAGCAAATTGACATAGTGCAGATTTGGGCAATTAAACAAAATGGCTGCTCTAGAAGAATAAAAAAGCCTAAAGGTCTCTCAGGGCACTCAAGAGATGACTTCTGCGTTTTCCAAGAGCCTAAGGGTCTCATGGGACATTTCATCAGATGTTCAGGGAAATAGATTCCAAGGGGCACTCACCAGCAATGCTTGGGAAGTGCTTACAGATTGTTACAGAAACTTTTGGGTTAAAGATGAAACCACTGGTCTTTCTTTCTTTTAAGATCCTAATCCCCAGCCAAACTTGCTGTTGGATCAAATAAAAAATCCAGTAAAGAAACTCTAAAAATGCTGAGTCATAGTTTCCTAGCCACTTTTTATAGCCCTATGACAAAGGGACCAAAGACAGTTGGAGTCCCTGAAAGCTGATTCTTACTAATAACTATTAACTTTGAATGAGTATCTAGTGTTGATAAATGACTACAACTTCAATGGAGGAAATATATATGCACCTTCAGTTAATCCTCTGCAAAGGCCTCAAGAAACCTTAGAAATTTCATTAGTTCTCTTTCAAGATAAAGGAGATAATCTTGTCCAACTTAGTGATGCCATGCAGAGTGGGGTTTTTTTGTTTGTTTGTTTGGAGTCAGCATCAAGATAGCACAGCACAATCAGGAGTAGCAGCAGCAATGACACCATCATTTCCATGTAATCTGAATGCTAGACATGTCTGTGCTGGATTCAGGTGGGCTTCGAGAAGTTGTGATAGTGGCTACTCAGGTAGAGTTTATAACTTTTTGCCTCAAATATATACCAGCATAAAAAAAGTGGCACAAGGGTGGCAACCAGGATGCATCCACAAACTCTGCCACTTACCAAACAGCACTGGGCATGGGGAAGTCATCTGAGCTGCTTGGCTGCAACTTCCCAAGTGCTATATCCCTGTTCATACAGAAGCCAAAGCAGTGCCAGAAACCGCTCCCGTTAATGTTTGTGCCCAATCACCATCTTAGGAGTTCTAACCAGGAGAAAAAAACCATAGGTATATCTGAAGGAAATATAACATGACAATATAAAATTTTGTGATCTTGAATATAGGGTATCTCTACATTTATTTAGGCCTGTTTTGGGTATTGTAGTTTTCTATTCTTTTGTTTTTAGTACCTTTGCCTTTAAAGTATTTCTCTTGCACCAGTTTCTCACTGACTTTTATCCTGTGGGAAAACTGCATTTTATTAGAGTATTATGTTTGTTTACACAATGCACATAAACACATTAATATGATTATGGTTTTCTCCCATTTTTTATTTATATTGTTTCATGACGAGTTTGTTTCTTGTAGTATTAGGGATTGAACCCAGGGCCTTGCACATGCTAGCCAAACGCTCTACCACTAAGCTACCTCCCCAGCCACAACTTCTTTTATTTTTTTGAGGCAAGTCTTTCTAATTTGCCTAGGTTGGACTCAAATTTATGATCCTCCTTCCTCAGCCTTCCCAGTAAACGGAATAAAGTAGCTGGGATTACAGACATGCTCACTACACCCAGCTTGCTTCATTTGTTTTTTATTCTTGTGTTTTTCCTCTTTTCTTCTGTAATTATAGGTAAGTTTTAGTTTTATATTTTAATCCTTCTATTACCTGCTAGCTATATCTCTTTGCTAATTTTCAGTTGTTCATCTGGAGATTACAATATTTATGTATCTTAAACTCATCCCAACTAATTTGATACTATTCCACTTAAAGTAAAACACACACACACACACACACACATAAACCCATCAATTTATTAATGTTACTATTTTTTGCTTTACTCTCATGTCTTTCAAAATAGTTACATTAAAATAATAATAATAATAATAATCCCCTCTACATCAGGAAATTGTTTTATTTATTTTCCAGGAATAGTTTAAGCCCATATGTATAATATGAATTTTGTGATATTTATGTTTTAACACCAACGTCTTAATTAATATAACTAGTAAGCACCAGACCTATCAGTATCTGAATCCATTTTACTTATATAATATTTATGTTTTATTTTATTAGCTAATTATTTAAAGAAATTTAGCATGATCATAAGAATCAGGAAGAAAAATACTTCTGTAGAAATTCAGAAAGGAGCATGTTCATATGGTTCTTCCAAAATTATCTTAACTAGTATTCCATCTGCCAAATCAATCCACTGCTTTAAATGAAATGTACTACAGTGATCACTTTAACAAACTTAATCATGATATTTGTCTCAGGAGTATTTTAATGGATTCCCATTGCCTGTGGGATAAAACCCATACGTCTTAGCATTGTGATCAAGAACTGCCTTCTTTTTTCCCCAGCATCATCTCTTACTGCTTCTTGCTTTGTCATCATTGCTCTAGCCACACAGAAATATAGTCCTCTGAATAGTCCATAATCCTTATCACTGATTACTTGACCTTAAGAATTTCAGAATTTCATTACTTTTTAAAATTTAGCTCCTCTCATACTCTGGGATACCCTTTACTCTAGAGTAAGTACTCTTTCTCTGTATTCCTATAGTTCTACCTGCTTACCCTCCATTAGAGCAGGAATAACCTTATCTGTATTTGTCTATTGATTTGTTTGTATCCTCAAAATGAATTCATTATAGGCAGATCTGTGTTTTATCTAGTAACCCCACTACCTAAGAAACATCAGGCAAACAGTAGAAATAGTAGTTGGAAAAAAATGAATACATTTGCAAATTGCTTCAGTTTGCAAATTACTTCAAGCTATCATTATCAATTCTTACTGATTTTCTAAATATGTTCAATATGCGTTATTTAGCACTTGAAATGTGCCAAGTGCTTAGGAACATTGCATTTTAATAGTGAAAAGTGGAAGGAAGATAGTGTAGATTAAACTGACAATGAACTTATACTATATCATCACAGTCATAAAAAATGAATTCTTCTCATTCATACTTGAATCCATTATATTAATAATCTGGCTAATTTTGCTAATATTATAAAACTTAACTATTATGCAAAGAAATAGATGAAAAAGAGACAGTGTGAATCACATACCAAAGATACCATGGCCCAACCAGTTTTATTATAGATGAACTCCAAGTTGTTCCTTCTTAAATAGAGCAAACCACCAACAAGTGACACCAGCAGGGCCAAAGCAATGGTACCAGAGTAGTTCGGTGGTCTGAAAACACGAATCTGCAAAAATGAAATGAAAATTTTAAAAGTGAAAGAGAAATAATCAAGTTTTTTTTTTTCCCCCCATTGGATTTTTGATTGGTTTCCCTAAGGAATGACAAAGTTCAGCATCTTTCCATGGGTTTATTGTCCTTTTGTATAATCTCCATATGGAAATGTTTATTCAGATACTTGGCTCACTTTTAAATGGGTTTTGTCTTTTCCTTATTGCATTTTAGAACCTTATTATATATTACTAAATATAAATCAGAAAAATGATTTGCAAAATATTTCCCCTATTCTGTGGGCTGTCTACTCACTCTTGATGTTGTCTTTTAAAGTATAAAGGCTATTTAATAGAAATAGATACAACTGATAGGAACTCATGATTTGTAAAGTACATATAGTTCTTGATTATAGTAACTTTTCCTTCCTAAAAAGAACGAAGGATCTTTGGAGAGATGGCTTTTGAAGTTAGGTTGAGTAAATGGGCAGATACAAGAAGAGTCTGGAATTAACTGTTAGGTCAGAAAATAAGAAAGTATTTAACATGATGAGGCATGTCACAGAACACAGGAGTCACCATGAAGGACTCCCACTAGTGAACTCTGATATAATTTAGAACCAAATTAATTAATAATAGCAATAAATTACAAACCACAGGGGGAAATAATATGTTTTGTATTCTTTTGTGATATGATTAGTCAGATGCAGGTGGAAAAGTTCAAGATAAAAACAACTTGATTGTACTCACAAGTTCAAGAAACAACAGGCATCACACACCACATGAAAAAGATACCAGAAGTGATATGTGACAGAAAATATGATTCGGATAACTTCCAAAGGCTTTGGGCTGCAGGAGGTCTCCAATTGCTTAGTACCTGACCTTGGAGTGATTACAGCATGAAGATAATATCCCCTCACAATTTATAGGACAAATACAGGAGATAATTAAAAAAAAAAAAAAAAACATGACCTACATAATATGGTGGCTAAGAAAGCATAAGCAGAATCCTATATGACTAAACATTAGGTAGATCAAATGAGAAATCATTCTTTGTAAAAAGTAGGATAAAAATTCCATTTTTCCAAGTGTCAATGTGTCTAAAGGATAGCCAGCAGGCTATAGAAATATTCCAGATTAAAGCAAGATAAGAAAGATAACTAAATGAAATGACTTATTCTAGAATAGATCTTGAAAGGTGGGAAAATGTTATAAAAGGTATAACATTCTAATTGGAACTACACAATAGGATTCAATAATTCTAATATGGACAGTAGCAGCTCAAATAAAATTATGATACCACTGTGAACACAATTTGTCCAATTGGTCCACATGAGAGACAACTATCTTAGATTAAATGTATACAGACCTACTGGTAAAAATGAATGTTTCTGTATTACTTTGAGTATAAATGCACTTTTAAAGTAACTGGTTAAATTTGTTCAATGCAGAAAATAATGACATTATTAGGGAAAAAAATAGCTCTAAGTCCTAGATGTTATCATTAACATCATCTCCTTTCACAATAATCAGTCTATTTCAACCGATATTTACATTTATGCTCTTAAAAAATTCTAGATCATACTATAAATACTTTCAAAATTATTTTCTCACTTGGCAGACCGTGAGTTTGATCCTATGAGAAATATTCTTGCAAATCATTTTTTGGCTATGTCATAGCACATTTATTGAGTCTCTTATTTTTTAGACATTTGATTTATTTCCATTTTTTCCACTAAAATGAAAGCTGTTAAAAATTTTCTATGACTAAGAATCTGAATCATTCCTAATTACATTCTTAAGTTAAATTCCTAGAAGTAGAATTAAGTTAAATTAAAAAAGACAGATTTATAACATATACTGTTAAAATAGTTACATCAATTTACAGTTGTAACAGCAGTACACATAAGTAGGTATTTTTTTCATATGGTTCTAAATTCTATTCCTATTTGCACAAAAGATAAAAAATTTTATCACTTGGTTTTTAATTAAATTTCTTTAATTGCTAATATTATTAAACCACTTTCAATGCATTTTCACCCCTCTCCAATTAGCTTGGGTCTAACTCATGAACTTATTAACGGTTTTTAAAATATCAACCAACCATTGTTCTAAAAACCATCTGAATTCACCTAATCGAAGTTCAGCTTATCATTCATTAGATATCAGACATAGTTTTCTCTATGCTAGAACAAATATCCATATGCAAATTTTAAAATCCTATGGACTTATTAAAATACTCTAATAAAACAAGCTAATAAGTCTATTATTACAATGTGGGGAATGAAAGCATACATGAACGTCTGTTCTGTCAGCAATCCACTTTGCTAGCTGTTCAGCTGCAAATCCAATTCTTTGAAGGTCAAAAGTATCAGCTCTCTTGGGTCTGCCTTTTGGAGGAAAATGCATAAATGTAGGAGCAGAGTTCATGTTGAGCTGTAAAACATGATAAAAAACACTAAATATCACCCTAACATTATCTATTGTAGATCTAACATTTTATACTTTTTGCCTGAATTTTGGAAATAGACTTTATTTAAAAATCCAAATGGCTTTTGAGAGCTTAATTTTTGTTTTTATGCATCCCAATGCACTATTGAATGAAAAAAATGGTGAATTTGACTAACTTCTCTGAACTCTCACATTTAATATACATTATTAATATCCTCAACTGCATCCTCTACATTTTTACAGTCATTTCATTCTTCATCTTTCTAGAATTTTGTAATTAAGGTAAAGAAAAAGGTACTGAAAGTAACAGAAATATTGTGATTTACAACGTATAGAGATCATTTTGCTTCTTAACCAACTATTGAAATTTGGCAAAAATATACATATTATGAAATTAATTTCAAACACATTATAAGTAGATTTAATTTCCTATAAAACTGAAAATCTGTTTTGTAGTAATGATTATTAAGCAATAGAAATTGATATATTTTGTCTAAATAACTTAAAATTACCAGAGATTACAAAAGAAACCCACAATATAGTCTTTTTTCCGTTCAACATGTCTATTAATTCAAATGTCTAAAATGGTTATATCACCGGAATGTTTTCCATGGGTCATTTCCATTTGAAAAGCATACTAAGCAGAACACTATCCTATAGTAATTATAATACTTTTTAATGATATGAAGTCTAAAAATATGTATTAGATTAATTTATATCGAGGAGCAAACTACACAAGTATACACAGATTAACATTCTGTTGCCCAGAAATTATTTTTAAAAACTCTTAAAATGGAAGGCCAACAGTTAAACATAGTTCATCATTCCCTAATAATCGGAATGAAATCAAAATCAAATCAATTCACATCCATTACACCATTAAATTAAGAATTGACATCAAGATAAAGATACAGTAAAAGTTTAGCTAACAAGAGCAACAAAGTTTACAGTCAGGACTAAAACAGCTTGTGCCCTATAAACAAACTCTGACTGTAGCTGTCATATTTAAATAACTTCCAATTTATACAGCTTTAGTCAGCTCACTACAAAAGAGTTGAATACTTGAAAGAAACCTATTCCAAATATTTCTCATTTTTAATATTACCAATTCAATCAAATTCTCATTATTTACCTCCATGTTATCTGCATTAGTACTTTATAAATACCACCAGTAAATAATAATATTTGGGCCAGGTATGTGGCACACACCTGTAATTCCAGAAACTCCAGGGAATTGAAGAAGATGATTGCAAATTTGATGCCAACCTCAGCAACTTAGCAAGACCCTGTGTCAAAATAAAATATCAAAAGTACTGGGGATGTAGCTAAGTAGTAAAAAGCCCCTGGGTTTAATTAATTCCCCAGTACCAAAAAAAAAAAAATTGCTACTATTATAGGAAGAGGTGGGATCCTTGAGAGATGACTAGATCACGAAACTCTACCTTTCTGAGTGAGATTAGAGGTTTATAAAAAGGAAAGCTGACTACTCTTGTCTTATCTGTCTTTCACCATGTGATGACATAATAAGAAGGCCCTTGAGAGATTCTGGCACCTTTACATAGAACATTTATATACATTTCTGTTCATTATAAACTCATAATATTCTGTTGCAGTAGCACAGAATAAGAAAACATTTAAGGAATTATTTTTTCCAAAGGGATACACAGTTTATTTTATTTTATTTTTTTGGAATGGTTTCTCTTCTTGCTCTTCATTCCTGTACCATACAACTTTTCATTTATTCTACAGAATTTAGATTTAACTAAACTTCTGCAAAATAACAATAATAATAATAATGTAATTTGGGGAGAAGGAAGACTGCCACGCCAGTATGATTGAATACACATTTATACACCAGGCAGAGAATTAAACATCTACATATATTAGCATTTCATTTTAATCTTCCCAAAAGTCATAAGAGAAAGGCACTATTATTTTGCCTCTTAAAGATTAGAAGAGAGGGGCTTAAAGAAAGGATCACACAATTTACAAAGGTCACACAGCCAGCTATAAAGAGGTTCAGTTTGATGCAGACTCAGGTTTTCTAACTCTCTCTCTTCCTTTTTTTGTTTTGTTTTTTGTTTTTGTTTTTTTTTTTTGTTGTTGTTGTTGGTACCAGATTGAGCACAGGGACACTCGACTACTGACCCACATTCCCAGCCCTATTTTACAGTTTTATTTAGAGACTGGGTCTCACTGAGTTGCTTAGGGCCTCACGAAGTTGCTGAGGCTGACTTTCTTTTTTTTTGTTTATTTTATTTATTTTTTATTAGTTGTTCAAAACATTACAAAGCTCTTGACATATCATATTTCATGCATTAGATTCAAGTTGGTTATGAACTCCCAATTTTACCCCAAATACAGATTGCAGAATCACATCTGTTACACATCCACATTTTTACATAATGCCCTATTAGTAACTGTTGTTTTTTTTTTTTTTACAAAGACCATGAAGTTTTTATTTGTCATATAGAAATTAAAAAACAGTTGTATACAGCAATAATAATGCTGAATTGAAAATTTTAAAATGTATACAATATTTTTATGACATACACTATATTGTAATATGATTGTCAACATAAAATCTTCTAAATTACTTCTTTTTTTTTAATTTTTTTTTATTGGTTGTTCAAAACATTATAAAGCTCTTGACATATCATATTTCATACATTAGATTCAAGTTGGTTATGAACTCCCAATTTTACCCCAAATACAGATTGCAGAATCACATCGGTTACACATCCACATTTTTACATAATGCCCTATTAGTAACTGTTGTATTCTGCTACCTTTCCTATCCTCTACCATCCCCCCTCCCTCCCCTCCCATCTTCTCTCTCTACCCCATCCACTGTAATTCATATCTCTCCTTGTTTATTTTCCCATTCCCCTCACAACCTCTTATATGTAATTTTGTATAACAATGAGGGTCTCCCTCCATTACCATGCAATTTCCCTTTTCTCTCCCTTTCCATCCCACCTCATGTATCTGTTTAATGTTAATCTTTTCTTCCTGCTCTTCCTCCCTGCTCTGTTCTTAGTTGCTCTCATTATATCAAAGAAGACATTTGGTATTTGTTTTTTAGGGATTGGCTAGCTTCACTAAGCATAATACACCATGGAGTATTACGCAGCACTAAAAAATGACAAAATCATAGAATTTGCAGGGAAATGGATGGCACTAGAGCCTATTAGTAACTGTTGTATTCTGCTACCTTTCCTATCCTCTACCATCCCCCCTCCCTCCCCTCCCATCTTCTCTCTCTACCCCATCTACTGTAATTCATTTCTCTCCTTGTTTATTTTCCCATTCCCCTCACAACCTCTTATATGTAATTTTGTATAACAATGAGGGTCTCCCTCCATTACCATGCAATTTCCCTTTTCTCTCCCTTTCCCTCCCACCTCATGTCTCTGTTTAATGTTAATCTTTTCTTCCTGCTCTTCCTCCCTCCTCTGTTCTTAGTTGCTCTCATTATATCAAAGAAGACATTTGGTATTTGTTTTTTAGGGATTGGCTAGCTTCACTATGCATAATCTGCTCTAGTGCCATCCATTTCCCTGCAAATTCCATGATTTTGTCATTTTTAGTTTACTCCTCACACTTCAGATAGAGCCCTAATATCCAGAGTATACAAAGAACTCAAAAAATTAGACAATAAGAGAACAAATAACCCAGTCAACAAATGGGCGAAGGACCTGAACAGACACTTCTCAGAGGAGGACATACAATCAATCAACAAGTACATGAAAAAATGCTCACCATCTCTAGCAGTCAGAGAAATGCAAATCAAAACCACCCTAAGATACCATCTCACTCCAGTAAGATTGGCAGCCATTATGAAGTCAAACAACAACAAGTGCTGGAGAGGATGTGGCGAAAAGGGTACTCTTGTACATTGCTGGTGGGACTGCAAACTGGTGCGGCCAATTTGCAAAGCAGTATGGAGATTTCTGGGAAAGCTGGGAATGGAACCACCATTTGACAGCCCTTCTCGGACTATTCCCTGAAGACCTTAAAAGAGCGTACTACAGGGATACTGCCACATCGATGTTCACAGCAGCACAATTCACAATTGCTAGACTGTGGAACCAACCCAGATGCCCTTCGATAGATGAATGGATAAAAAAAATGTGGCATTTATACACCATGGAGCATTACGCAGCACTAAAAAATGACAAAATCATGGAATTTGCAGGGAAATGGAGGATGACTTTCAACTTTCGATCCTTCTGCCTCAGCCTTCTAAATCACAGGGATTACAGGCATGCATAGTTCAATGCCACTCTATGATGATGCTTTTCGAACAATCTCCTTTGGATAAAAATTGTAAATTGCCCACAATTTTTTTCAAAATAACTTTTTATAAAAATTTTAAGCTAGTTCATTGTAACAGTAAATTATAAAAAGTCCCTACAATATGCTGCAAACATGAGATAGATTATAAAAGATAACATCATATAACAGACACATCACATATATATGAGAAGTGTCATACACACATATACACAAATATACATGTCTACACACATAAATACTCTACATCAAGAGTCTATCTTAGTCCATTTTCCTGCAGGGAACTTCGCACATATGGGCATTTAGTAACTTTGCTTAAACTGAAAAAAGCATGGAGTTACTAGTTCCTTTCTTTCCTGTTTTTCTCCCACTCTAGAAGTTGTTCACTTGCATTTTTTTCAATGAATACACAAGACAGAGCTACACTCAACATCTAAGTATAATATTAAAAGGGAGGAAGTCTTTCATATGCCTTCTCTTATAACAATCAGAAAAATCCATACTAGAGGTTAATATTTTAGGTTTTTTTAGTCATGTAATTCAAAGAAATTCTTCAAGGGCGCACTAAACAAAGCACAACATATATCTGTTTAATAGCTGCTTCTAACACACTATATTCATTAACCCACTGGCCATCCAATACTTAGCCTCAGCCATTCCTATGTAAATTACACATAACTGAAGTAACT